TGGTTACATCATTCTGCTTTCTTAGTTTTTCCTACTCTGTTTTTTAAGTAGAGTAGGATATTAATAAATAAAAAAATCAAAGTTTATGGGAATCATTTTCTATGTAAGAATGACTTATGACCGGTAATTGGTTGTTAAGGCCAGACTCGAGAATTTGTCTTTCGTCGGATTTGCAAAGCAAGTTCACTGACTTCTTTTAGATTATATATTGCAGATAAAAAGTTCTTTAAAGGTGCTGTTACTGATACTTTATAAGAGTGAGAAAACATCAATTACCCATATCAAAGGATATTATCATTACTAGAGGGACTTTTGAGAAAAGCTGCACACAAACCCCAGCCCCAGCAAGGAACTGTGTGTCACGGCTGCTCTCAAGATGAACCAAACTGGGCTTCCCTGGTGGCGCAGTGGTTGAGAGTCCGCCTGCCGATGCAGGGGACACGGGTTCGTGCCCGGGTCCGGGAAGACCCCACATGCCACGTAGCGGCTGGGCCCGTGAGCCATGGCCACTGAGCCTGTGTGTCCAGAGACTGTGCGTCCGGAGCCTGTGCTCTGCAACGGGAGAGGCCACAACAGTGAGAGGCCGTGTACCGCAAAAAAAAAAAAAAAAAAAAAAAAAGATGGACCAAACTGTTAATACTTAAGTTAAATCAATCTGGTGAAAAACATATAGCTTACTGTCCTTATGTCATTCCTTCAGAACTATTATTATATGACATATAAAGCACAACCAAATAGTATTTTTCTGCCTAACTAATTATCTTATGATTGCTTTAGATTAGTCTAAAACATGTATTCTCAATGGGGGTAAGACTGCCCTCAAGGGAGCAAAACTTAGCTTCTGGGAGTCAAAAAACTTTACTCTTTTTATGCATAAAGCAGACAAACATACAGTCCATAAACAGAGTCTCATGGAGAGAACAATTAAGAAAAAATGTCTAAAAGCCTTCTTACAGAGGGTGATTTTAAAAGAAAGGTTGAAAAATACTGATCTAAAAGAAACTGAAACTCTTCTTGACAACTGTCAAATGTTTGTGATTACACATATCACTATCTTCTATCTTCAAAGATTAGAATGCTTGTAGGATGGTTATTTGCAGGGGCAGATGTGCCTCAAAAGACTGCATAACCAACATTCCTCTTACACTGTACACAGATGGTGACTATCAGAGGTATAACAACTATAATTCTTTTATCTCTTACATAGTACCAAGTCTGCAAACACTAAAAGAAAAAAATTTTAAGCTGAGATGTTAACTTTTTGACACCAGTTAAAGAAGGAATATGCACAAGTACTTAAATAAGGATGGTGATTTTAATGACAGCTGAAAAGATGAAACATTCTAAAAAAAAGTAGCTGGGCTCTCACCATCGGAGCACCCTGCTGCTTAGGTAACTCCCTCTCATATTCCTTAATGAGCAATGTCTGAAAAATTAAAATTTCAGCAGAGTGTATTCAAGTAGGAGTTTCCTATAAAATTAGCTTTTTGTCAAATAAATCATACTGAAAATATACAGCTGTCTTTTTAAAAATACATTTTAATGCCAGGACAGTAATGGAAATCAGAACATTTCCTAACTGTACCACAAAGAATACTCCATTCCCATTTAACTGCTCCAAAGGATCTCTGCCAAGATGCCCATAGGCAGGTGTGTCAGGATAGTGAAAGATGCCAAAAAGAGCAGCATAATGAAAGGTTTCCATGGCAGTAGAAAAGTGTGAGGAAAGAATGTAAGAAATTACAGTGTAATCCTAAATATTAGAAGTGATCTATGGCAGTGATGATGGTGAATAAATGGTGAGAAGAAAAAAAGGCAGGGAGCAGGGGCAATGTCAGAGCCAATTCTACCCAGGTGGAGAAGAGAGTTATTCAGGTTTAGCCAGCCTAGCGGAAGTGCAACTGAGTTCCCAATCTCATCAGTTGGCCGGGCTATAAACCAGAGCTCCGTTTAGCTATAAATGACAGAAACTCCTGCTAAGGGATGACCCGACACGATGCTTTTTCCTCAGCTCTGGCAGTGGTTATTTTGGGGAGGCTTAGGTAGAAACTCTATGGAGCTCTGACCTTGATGGCTGAAAAGTCTAGTTTCTTGTTCCTACCTTCTCTTCACCAGCTCTTAGAACTTTATTGCATTGTTCCTCGGTTCTAGGTTGGTTATTAAGAAGGGATATGAGGTACTTCTAAGACCAATTAGTTAAATAGTAATATCTAAAATAAACTCTATTTCTTCTAACCCTTGGGGACTGCTCTTAACATATTCAAAAAGCTATTTTGAACTGGGCAAGTTTGAGCAAATCTAGTATTTATCATTAATATAATAGTCCTTAAACTTGAATGTGCCTTAGAATCACAGAGGAGTTCCTTTAAAATCCCCTTCCTCTAAAAATGCATATTCGCGCTCACTTCAGCAGCACATATACCAAAATTGGAATGACACAGAGATGTTCATTGCTGCTCTATTTACAATAGCCAGGACATGGAAGCAACCTAAGTGTCCATCGACAGATGAATGGATAAAGATGTGGCACATATATACAATAGAATATTACTCAGCCATAAAAAGAAACGAAATTGAATTATTTGTAGGGAGGTGGATGGACCTAGTGTCTGTCATACAGAGTGAAGTAAGTCAGAGAAAAATACCGTATGCTAACACATATATATGGAATTAAAAAAAAAAAGTTATGAAGAACCTAGGGGCAGGACAGGAATAAAGACGCAGACATACAGAATCGACTTGAGGACACGGGGAGGGGGAAGGGTAAGCTGGGACGAAGTGAGAGAGTGGCATGGACATATATACATAGCTGCATAGCACAGGGAGATCAGCTCAGTGCCTTGCGACCACCTAGAGGGGTGGGACAGGGAGGGAGGGAGGGAGGGAGCCGCAAGAGGGAAGAGATATGGGGATATATGTATATGTATAGCTGATTCACTTTGTTATACAGTAGAAACTAATACACCATTGTAAAGCAATTACATTCCAATAAAGATGTTAAAATAAATTAAAAATGAATAAAAATAATAAAAATTAAAATGCAGATTCCGTGGGTCTCTGGGCAAAGGAATCTACATTTTTTACCGACATCTCAGATGACTGATGAGTGTGGTGTGCAGCCACACTCTTGAGATCAACTGCTGCTCTTTCATTACTGAGAAAATAGCCTCTGCACACAGATATACTTTGCTTTACAACAGAGGAATGTTCTTAAAAATTATAACCAAATTGGATTTTGCAAACTAAATTCTATACTCCCACAAGATGACTTTAAAATTTTAAAGATATTTTATTCATCCTGAGGGGTGGGAGTGGTTTCTTATACCTTCTAGAGGTCAAATTCCATGCTCTTCCATTCCTCACCTCTACCTCAGTAGTTAAAGATTTAATAATTTAGGAATCCATTTAAAGAAGCCTCATCACATACTCCATGTCTCCCCAATCGAGAATGTCAGTCTTTTAAAAGTCGTTGATTCGTAAATCTTATCTTTGAAAACAAACCTTGAAAATGCAGACTCTCTTTAGGAAGGAAAGTCAAAAATAGTTTTAAAGAGAATTTACTGCAGTAGATTTTACTACTATGTATTAGCTACAACAATGTAAGATAAATGCTTCTTCAAAAGAAAATATCAGCTACGAGTAAAGCCATCATTTTTAACTTCTATACCAAAAAAGTCCACACTTAAGGAAATGCTTCTACTAAGTAATGAATATTTGATACAAGGTATTGAAAAACAAGAGATTTTTATTATTTCTTTCAGAGAAAGAAGAAACATTTTTAAAACACTCATGGAGAACCACCAAATAAGAAATGTCATTTCTAGTACTGTGGGTATTTGGGCCAAGTAAGCATAGTCCCAGACTGAAGATTGACAGACTATGTCCTAGGCTCAGTTTTGCCACAAAAGGGCCATGTGACCTTGGGAAATAACCTCTCTGGGTCTAAATTTAATTTGAAAAATAAGATTGTTAACTAAAAGTAATTCTTTAATTGCAGCAGATTAATTCACTCTGAAGTATTTACATCAAAAAGCATTGTAGTATTTGATGCCTGTAAAGTGCTTGATCAAATGACATTATTAAAATGTAACTGGAAACTTGATATTGTGAGTAACTCACTAAGACTGTCCTTGTAGCTGTCAGGTACATAACATTGGACTTTCCTCCTTTGAAAAAATGAACACTTTGATCATCTAAATTTTCATATATTGAGTTTTCTTAAAGCAAGGTACATAAGTACCACAGTCTGTTTCTGTAAAAGAAAATAAAGTATTTTTCCAGTCCTTCTTTCCAACCCATTGTCATTACAGACTCTGGGGAAAAACAAAAAACAAAAAAACCTTTAAGTCTTAACCACTGAAATAATGTTACAGTAATTACACCACAGAAATAACACTTTAGTAAAATACTCAAAGATATTCACCTGAGACTACTTATCTTCAGTACCAACTTTCTTGAGTCTACTCTATTTGTTAGAGCAACATTTTCAATTTTAGCAAATATTAAAATAAATTCACCACTCATTCTGGTTTCCAAAGGAATATACCGAGTCCAAAAAATTCCTCCCAAATCCAACAGGAATCAACACAGGCATTTGACAATTCCAGGGAGGTTGGGATGCACAGACATCTTGTTCAAAATGAATAAACTTTCCAGGACCTTTATCTACCTACTTGAGAAACATAGGTTTGGAAACAACCAGCTAACTTCGCTCCCAAGTTGTTACCTTAGAGAATCCTCCGTTTACAAAACACCCAGGACCTCAGAGCCTCCCTGCCCAGAATTGGCAAGGGGAGCACACGCCCATCGGCCCTGCCTGGAGAGGAAACAATGGGAGAGGCGCGAGGGAGCGAGCCCGGCGCCCCGAGCGGCCCAAGTCCGCGGCCCCGGCCCGCGCCCGACACCGCCTGCGGCGTCCCCTCCCCAGGCACCCCGGCCCCCGCCCCCGAGCCCCAAGGCACGGCCCACCTGCGGCGGCGCGGCCAAAGGGCAGCACTTACCAAATAGGGTCAGGGCCATTGTAAAGGCGCTTGGTAACTGCTCGCCGCCGCCCGCCGGTCCACGCGCTCCTCCCAGGCCGGCCGGAGATCACCGCATCGGCCCGATGCGCTCACACCTCGGAGGGAGCGGGGAGTCGGAGGGGCGTGGTGGGGGCGCTGGCGCGCGAGGAGGCTGCAGGCCGGGAGGCAGGGCACCGCTGCAAGAAAAAGTTATTTACGCGTTATTGTCAGGCGCACTCGGACAAGGGGGGACCCGCTAGCCATCGGCGAGCCGGCACTTGTCGCTGCCATGTGTGCACTACGCGGAGCGCGCGCGGGCGCCGGTACCTGCGAGGCGGGGAGGCTTGGCCGCGGCGCAATGGCTGGAGGAGAGGCGGCGCCGCAGTGGCGGCGGCGGCGGCGGCGGCGGCGGCGGGGAGAGGAGCAGTCTCGCAGAGCCCCCGGCGGGGCGCGCTCACTCTGCATCCCGCGGCCTCGCAGACGCCATCTTGCGATAGCGTCTCCCACTGGATCTGCCGCTGCGCCTCCTCCCGTCTCCCCCTAGGGCGGCGTAGCCTTGTGCGTTCCCATGGCAACGGGCGCGCGCGGGCGCCGGGAGCGCGCGCCCCTCCTGCCCTGGGCCGCTGGGAGCCGCCTGGGCCGCCCGGGAGGCTGCCTCCTGGAGCCAGGGAGGGGCGGGGCAGTGTGCGTTTCAGCCGAAATCCCCGGTTTTTTCTTGAATGGGATTTGTGGAGGCGCAGAGAGGAGCTGTTACTCGAAAGAAGAGTCACTGGAGGATGCTCTGTGAACACAAGGACCCATAAAGGGTCATCTGGGGATCGGGTTCGTTTCAGGATATATCTCTCCCCCGGCGCCTCCGGGGTTAACGGAGAGTCTGGAGCCCTTGACGTGAAGCTATAGGACTCCGGGAAGGGAGCCTAGAGTCGAACAGAAGCACTGAATGTTGCTTTCCTCTCCATTTGGACTTAGGAGTCACTAAGAGTAGTTCTGGTCAGACTGTCGTCGGTTAAAAAGCATCTGGGAATACCTAAGATCATTTGTTATAAATGCTTAAACCTAATTTTCTTCTTTTTACTTTACACCTCTTTGATATTGCCTCAGGAAAATAATCAACATTTCTCGCCGATTGGCACTTCTTTACCACAAAAGATTGTTCCCTTGAGCTTTTTGCATTTATCTATTAATCACTGGAAGCATCCCTCTTTTTGTGATGTTCTCTGATCGCCACTGTCCTTGCCTTAATTAACGACAAGCCATATAACGCCTTGAGATTATCAGCCAAAAGACGTTACTGAAAAGCTCGGTTATGATGGTTTTTGTCGTTTTCATTGAATGTATTCAAAAATTCAGTATTCCCTAGTTGCTATGATTGTTTCCTGGGGGTTTTTGTTTTGATTTTGTTTTTGTTTTTAACCCTCCTTTTTTCTTGTTTCTCTGCTTAGGGATTTGATACTATTTCAGCATCTAATCATGTAGATTTTCTCTTTGGTTCTCATTTCTTCCTGGCTGCATCTTTCCTCTTTCAGTTCCTCAGGTTCCCTAATATCATTTTCCTCTTCTCTCTACTTTTCAACTAATTCTTTTAAGAATATTATATCCATATCTTCTATTTAATTTATCTTGAGGATCAAAATCGTTATAAAAATGAAAATTACTACTTAAAATAGAACCACAGTTAATTCATCATCCTTTCACAGCAGACTCAAAGATCAGAAGAAAAAGAAAAGCAGGTTGGAAGGAGGAGCCAGCCTTTTGTTTCACGTCAGTTACCTCAAGAGAAAAAGAAATAGTAAAATAATTCAACATCAGTGGGCAAATATTTAAGATGCTATATGTCTGAAATTTTTTGATGTAGTAAAAGGGCTCTCCTTTAGCCACTAATATCAGAATAAATCTTGAAATCCCCAGAATTTTAAATCTTTAATGAAAAGGACTCGATTTTGAACAGGCTTTCTGCTCGTGAAAAATTACAAACACACAGCTCATGAAGATAAATGAGACACTCAAGAAGGCTTTGTGGGACAGACTTTAGAACCGTGTAAAGATTGCTGCTGATCTGCTCACAACTAGATAAAGCAAAAACTAAAAAACACCATTTACTCTCTCAATCAGAGGTCCCCAAACTTTTGGGTACCTAATTTTCCTTTGAGGGTCAATGAAAATACTGTCTCTCTTCCTAGAAAAATGTTTATGTGTATACATACAGCCACCAAAATTTTTTCACACAATTTCAGGGGGATCATAGACTATTCAGGGACCTTAGGTTAGCCTCCAGATATCCTTTTTAATCTAGGAAAGTTTTTGCCTTTATAATTAAATTTTTTTTAAATTCCCTTTCATATAGAAGCATGGAATTTTGAACAGAAAAGGACCAAACCCCCCAATATACGGGTAAGGAATCTGAGGGTGCAGTGGTCAAAAGAGTTTCCCAGATGTGTACACCTATATAGTGGCAAAACTAATAGGAAAATCTTAGGCATCTGGTGTTCTCCCTGACCACCTCTCCCACTCTCCACCCCCCCACCTATATACAGGGTACATGGTTTGAATTTTAAAAGAAAAATCTGTTTAGTATTAGAAGCAGAGTTGCAAGGCGGGTGTTTTTTCCTCAACCATTTTACATGTTTGGGTCTTCTTGTAGTTTGGGAAGTTGAATTTTGTCCAAAAGAATCTCTTTTCATGTGCTCTTCAACTCCCAGCCATGTGCCCAATCAGGCTAAGAGGCGCTTTTCTCCCTCTTTGTTAATCTCTCTTTGAGAGGTAACAGAGCATCAAGGTTTTGCTGCTACAGCTCAGCTTGTTGGTAATTCTCTCTATGCTTTGGAGAGATATCCTAGGGGTGAGTCAGAGGGAAATTAACAGTCCTGTGCTCAGACTTAGCCTCCCATTGCACAGCCAAGCTTTGGCTGGACCACCTTTCCACTCACTAGTTATGGCTGATCACAGCTGAATCCTAGTGACAGTCTCAGCTTGGGCTCAGGTGGGGACCATCTTCCCCACCCCTTCCTCTTTTCCATACAAGTCTTATCACCCCCACACCCAACACACACACACACACACACACACACACACACACACACACACACACCCCAAGATGTTTTTAGGATACTGTGCTATTTAAAACAATACAGCTGAATGTTGCCATGTTTCCCTTTTTAAGCATCTAGCTTTCCACAAGTCTTTCTTTCAATTGACTTCCTAACAGTTTTATCCTCTAACAAAATGCTTTCTATACTTGATCAAAGTGCTATGTCTTGAAAATAGTATTCATTTTTATAATATTGTATTATCCAATGAAGAATAGAGTGTGTTTCTTTTCTCACTTAGCTGGAAATTAAGGAGTAGGCTTTCTGCTACAGATTCAATGTAAGGAAGGGTGTTAACCACTTGGGGGTGATTATTATGGGTGGGGCCTTAGACTGTTTATTAACAGGGCAAAAAATGAATTGACTTTTCAAAACATTTATGTTTCCATTCAAAGATTTAATTTTGTGCTTAAAATGTAAGCACCTAGAAGGGCCAGATTTTTTTTTTTTTTTTTTTGCGATATGTGGGCCTCTCACTGTCGTGGCCTTTCCCGTTGCCGGACGCGCAAGCTCAGCGGCCACGGCTCACAGGCCCAGCCGCTACGCGGCTCACGGGCCCAGCCGCTACGCGGCATGTGGGATCCTCCCAGACCGGGGCACGAACCCGTATCCCCTGCATCGGCAGGCGGACTCTCAACCACTGCGCCACCAGGGAGGCCCTAGAAGGGCCAGATTTGTCTGCTCTGTTGCTAAATAGTTGTTCGATTTTCAGACCTATGTTATACTTTTCTTATCTTCCTCATTTGTAAAATAAAGGAATGGGACCAAGTTATCTCTAATGTTCCTTTTAGGTTTGGCTGTCATTCTATGACATTTTAAAAATATATAAATCAACTGGATTATGGATAAAACAGAAGAAGACTTTTTTATTTGAATATTCAATAAATTTCAGTGTTGGTATATCTAGTGAATTTAAGCATCTTATGTTACAGTTTCATAAATACCTAGTATGACTAAGAAGTTATATTTTATTAAAACACTGATACTGTGATTTCATCTGCACTATGTTATACTGATGTTACATTTATTGTATAGAGAGCAACCTTTTTTTCAGGTTTAACAAGATTAAAATTAAAAAGATGCACCAAACAATCCATTTCAAATCTACTAAAAATGGTTTCTCATTTTTATTTAAGTTTTGTTGACTAAACAGAACTTAGACAACCCTTGAAATTTTTTTTCTACATTTTAAACTAATGACTTATCACAAGTGTTTTGGGTTGTCTTTTTGTTGCTCATTTAGCTTCATTCCCATTGGTAAACATTGATTTGTTCCTCAGTTTTGAATGAAACAGAAATTAATTAAGCAGTTTCTGCCTCACAATAACAAGTTAAAATTATAGCACTTTATCATGTCAACACAGCTTTAAGCACTAGGAATACCAGTGCTATTAGCACAGTTCCCAAAATAGTGCAGGTTTGCTGTTGAAAAAATCAGAGTGTATTTCTGCTGTGATAGAAAATTCTTCTATTCCTCCTCGGTTATACTGATTAAGGTTTAAATTATTTATTTAAAATATTCACTATAGGGACTAACCTGGCGGTCCGGTGGTCAAGACTCCAAGCTTCCACTACAGGGGGTACGGGTTCCATCCTTGGTCAGGGAACTAAGATCCCACGTGCTGTGAGCCACGGCCAAAAAATTTAAAAAATAAAAAATTCACAATATGTGACATTCTCTCCTATGTTTATGTTACCAGTTGAAGTATTTATTTCCATAGTGTGGATTCATTTAGAGTAGATTTGGTCTGGGTTTTTTTTGTTTTGTTTTGTTTTCTTGCGGTATGCAGGCCTCTCACTGTTGTGGCCTCTCCCGTTGCAGAGCACAGGCTCCAGACGCGCAGGCTCAGCGGCCATGGCTCAAGGGCCCAGCCGCTCCGCGGCATGTGGGATCTTCCCGGACCGGGGCACGAACCCGTGTCCCCTGAGGCGGACTCTCAACGACTGCGCCACCAGGGAAGCCCTGGTCTGTTTTTAATAATGTTTTCCTTAAAAACTTAATCTGGATGAATTCCCGCCCCCCTTTTATCTGAGGCTTACCTGATGTTTGCATGGAATTTCATGATTCATAAATAGCACTTTCACTGGGCAAGGCCATTTGCTTTGTAACAGAGGCAGCATTTACTCTGAATTTAAGGATTTAGACCATGAAGCTATTTAGGGAAAAAAAAGAATATTTATGTCATAAGCTGTAAAATTGGCCTTCAAGCTTAGATAATTCAAATTAATGTTTACGAGAGTTAATTGTGTTCTACTGACCACCAGAGGGTGTCTAAATTTTATCCATAAAATTGGATCTAAATTTTATCCATAAAATTGGATTGGATCTTAGAAATGAAGTAAAATTTGAAAAATACATAAGGTTCCTTACGAGTTGAAAACTTTTTCAGTTCCCCTCCATAGTGCTTCTTATAGTAGCAG